ATTGCATGCTTGAATAAGCTTCAGCTAAAGGCTAACCAGATAAATGAGTACAGAGCAAGTTTTATTGGCCGATTGCAGTCTGTTAAATCGTGTTTTTTTGGAATATTTCAAGATGTTGCATTTGATCATAGCGGTCGTTTCGAGGCTTCATGCAGAAATGAACAATTGCTGTGTAGAAGATTTTGAAATCGATTAATTTAAGCGGATAGATTAGAAATTAGTGCGAGTCATCGATATTTTGCGATCTGTTCTTTGTGAGAGCGTTATGAAAAAAACGTGCGATATTATTTTATGCCACTATTTCGTGTTATTTTCTCGATTATCGACAGCAAATTAATTATCGTCCTTGATAGTATTTTACACTAATTGTGTCGGTTCGTTGGTTTTTTCGAGCACATCTGCGAGTAGTTGCTCATCATTCATGCAATCTTATCTCATTATTTCATCAGTTTCACTTACAATTAGTTTTCCTGTCGAATCGTTTTAGTATTTTTTGGACTGTTCGGAATTGGTTTTTCATTAACTAGCGTATTCTGTTCACTGGATTTGATGTAATATTAATTCAAAGTATGAAATACGATTCAAGTTGCAAATCGAGACGTAGTGTCTTTGGATAGCGTTTAAGACTGAATGTTAACTAATAGCTGAATTGAAAGTGCTTATTACTGACTAAGACTAAGTGTTACTGAATTGACAATTGACTGTGAACGTCTAGAATGAGAGTGCTTGACCAATAGGTCAAGTGCGATTTTGAAAGCATCCAGTGTTTGTAATGAACAGAACAGATCAAGGGAATGCATGTGATCATCACATTTATGCTCGTTGTATATGATGTGATTGTGCTCTTGTAGAACCGGCACTCCTACGTCCCAAACGCCTCAAGAGGAGTCCGTTTAATCAGAACCAAATCTGTTTCATTCAGTCAACTCCGACCATGCTCAAAGGATCTGAGTCGTCTTCGATATACATTGATCCAGCAAAATATCCACTGGCCAGAAAGGACCCAACCATTGTTGAGGATTTTCATGGCACCAAGGTCAGGCGCCAACCTAAAACATTGTGCATTTTTACAATTATGAAAAAATGTTAAATTAGAATTTATCTTTTGAAGCGTTGGATATGGAATTTTTTGTAGACGACTTGAAGGTAGACAAAAATAACAATGGAAATAAGTCAGATTGACATTTATAAGTCGTGAACATTTATCATGAATAAATAGAGGACTCTACGATCATCCATTACATTCAACAAATAGAAAACTCAATCAGATCATTTGTCATGATCACGCGAAGCAAGTTTTACGAATCGCTCGATGAGCTCTTACCTACTACAATTCAATTTCTTATTACCTGTCATGGTCAGAAATAACTTGTTGAAATTAACTTTTTGTTTTATCTGTCTTGCTGAGCGTATACATAAATTGCTGTTTTGTTACCATGCCTAATTGTGTTTATTCACACAACAATTAATAGTGATGGCAACAGTAAAAATGAAGATGATGGTGACTAGAGATATGTTAAGGTACCTGATCCGTACAGATGGCTTGAGGATCCAGATTCAGATGAGACGAAAGCGTATGTCGACAAACTGAATGCTGTTTCGGAACCATTCATTGGAGCATCTCCGATCCGTGAGAAAATGCGCAAAAAGTCGGTGGAGAATTAATGAAATTAGAGTTTGTTGTTACAGTCGTGTGCTCTTCCGATTCATTCTGTTCAAACACGTTTCTTTCATTTTAGACTAATTGAACTCTGGGATTATGAGAAATACGGTTGTACATCAAAACATGGCCAATATTACTATCATTTCTATAATCCAGGATTGCACAATCAGAGGTATGCCACTTTTTTGTGCTTTCTTTCACAGCACATTTAGATTGCAATTTTCAGTAGCATCCTATGGCAGAATTATAAAATATGAAAATTTTGTGCAAAATGTGTGATGTTTTCATTCATTATTGATGCAGTTTTGTATGTTTCCTTGGTTTAATATTCGTTGTGTTCAATAGGCCAGTCATCAAGTTGCGTTACATGATTCGCGCTTAAATTTTACTGTCTCTAATAAATATTATGAGACCCTAAATCGGGAAACCGGTTCACCTTGTATCTATTATGCATGATGTTCATTTCGTTAGCAAACGTGTAGAACGATGTTCTTTTGTAAACTGCCTCTTCCCGGGCAAGTTCATTCAAAGGAACGTAACTGAGTGTTCGAAATGCAAGAAAAACAATCCTGTTTCATGTCATTCGCTCGATTACTTCAGTTTGCTATATCAACAGAAAACACTGCAAGATAAAGGAGTGGTATTCTTGGATCCAAATAAGCTTTCTCTAGATGGTACGACATCGATTCGAGTGCAGACATTCACTCGTGACGGTTCCATACTTGCCTATGGCATATCGCATAAGGGCAGCGATTGGATGACTTTAAAAGTAATCTTGTTCAATTCGAATTTCAATTTGAATTGAGCGTTACAAAAATTTAATTTGCTAAATTATTTTTAAGAGATTTCTTCAATTCAGATTTCAAAATTTGCCATTGGACATTTTCTGAGAAATCTTGTGACAGTTTTTGTTTTCTTTTCTGGGAGAGAAATTGGAAATTTCGATTCCACATTCGAGTGTCTTCATATTTTCATTATTAATTCCTGAATTTTATTTTTCATTTTTTAACTCTCCGGAAATCCCTCCAATATCTCATCCCAATGAGTTTCGATCCGCTTGTCTCAGAAAATGTTCTTGAACTTACTTTCAGTTCAAAACAGCCGAAGGCCAAGACCTGCACGATTTCGTTGAAGGAGTCAAGCATAGCAGCCTGGATTGGTTGTCTGATAACAGTGGTGTTTTCTATTCAGTACGCCTCCTTTTTCTGTGCTTTTTTCAATTATTCGCATCAAATTTCAAATCGAATCATCGACGGCATTTTCAAATTATGTGATTTTTATGGGCACTTGTGAATGTATATGT